TTTTGGATCTTATTTTCATTGGCATATCTCATTGTTGACTGCAATGCATTAAAAACATAAAAAGAAAGAAGGAAACATCCATGATAGAACATATGACATTGTTATTCTAATTCAAAAATTAGACTTATTTTTTAAATTTAATAATATAACAATGAATTAAAATATATAAGATAAGTTTCTCTCTCATATTTTTTTTTTAATTATTAACCAATCATATTTCTTAGACCATCTCCAACGCTTCACCAAACCTGATATCAAATTTAAATTTTGGTGAAAAAGTTACTATTTTGTGCTCCAACGGTTGTACCAAATTGATATCAAATTGAGAATTCACCAAACAATTCATCAAAGTGAGGACAAAATACTGATTTCAACAAATCACTGTTTGTTATCGTTGGGGGAGACCAATCGGTCAACCAGCCGATTGACCACTAAAAGGTTCAAACAGTTCAAAATTTATAGGTTCAAACAATTAAAAAAAAAATTTGCCTTACCGGTCGACCACTAAAAGGTTCAAACAGTTCAAAAAAAAAGTTCAAACAATTCCAAAAAAAAAAATAATAATAATTTTTTTGCCTTTACCGGTTGTCCCGGCGCAGATTTGATGAAAGTTTATCGTTGGAACAGCTGATATCAAATTGGGAAAATGAGCCATTTTTTACTCAAATTTGATGAAAAATTTGAGTAACCGTTGGAGATGCTCTTAGATATTATGCTCATCGTAAACATTTTCAATAGACTTTTTAAGAAAAACTTGTTACTTATTATAACTAGTCTCGTCATATTTTACTCCCTTCAATAGACTAGTTATACTATAAGCTATTTTAACCAAAAAAAAAAGAGAAAAAACTAACCATTTAAACAGTTTGTGTATAAATAAATAAAGTAAAAAAGCATTGTTGAAGCATGTAAATAGAATGAGAGATTTGATCAAATTTCCCTCATAATAAAACTTTAATGTATTAAGGACAAGTACAAAAAAAAAAAATAAATAAATAAAAAAAATCTTGAAAAATCCAACACACACCACTATTACAAAAATATCCTTGGTGACTAATTTAATATTTTGAATTTTAAAATAATATAACTTTTGATCTAGATGTCAATTTTTAATAAAATAATTAGTATTTTTAGAATCCTCTCATGAAGATCTATCAAATAAGATCACGGTTGACTATGAAATTAAAAAAAAAAAAAAAATTATCGTCAAAATTGACGTAAACAGTAACATGTTACTCTTTTTCACAGTAAAGTATTACTTTGATTGATAGTAACATTTTACTGTCTGTTCTAAATAGGGCATCAACCATAATAATAGAGTACGACTCTTCCTACATATGAACTCACACTACTACTAGAAATTAAAACCCATACTCATAGAATACTCAATCACAGAGAAAATGGATCGACTTGCTTCTTGTCAAAAGAGTTCGGATTGTTGTGGCTATTTATGGTTGATTCTTCTTCACTCTCCCAACAATTTTGCAGAAAAACCTTTCACAGAGAGTGGTGAGTTTTAGAGCGAGAGAGAGAGAGAGAGAAGCACTCTCCACAGTGCTACACTTTGCTATCTCTACTTGTCTACAACTCACATATGCTATACTCACAATTTTTTGAACTTTCTATTTGCAATTGCGTAAACCCTCTCTCCACGGTGCTACACTTTGCTATCTCTGCTTGTCTACAACTCACACATGTCATTCTCTCAATTTTTTGAACTTTCTATTTGCAATTGCATAAACCCTCTCTCCATAGTGCTACACTTTGCTATCTCTGCTTGTCTACAACTCACATATGTTATACTCTCAATTCTTTGAACTTTCTATTTGCAATTGTGTAAACCTCCCCTCTCTCTCTCTCATACTTTTCTCTTTGTGAAACGAAGTCAAAAAAAAAAAGAAAAAAAGAACAGAATGTTCAGAGTGATGCTCCAAATCAGAGCTTCTCAATAGAAATCTAAAGCTTTGTCTAAATTGACAGAACTCATTGGTTGCTTGACACATGAACACCTTCGTCGTCAGTAACTTCCTCTCTCTCTCTCTCTTTCTCTCTCTCTCTCTCTCTCTCTCTCTCTCTCTCTCTCACATACATACACACACACACACGGAAATGCAAGATTGTCCAAAAGGAAATAGAAAAATATTTTTGTATCCTTCATCACGTATGAGACTCCAAGTGAAGGAGCTTATGGAAGAAAAATTTATGGATTGTCATTTTTACCAAAAAAAGGGTCTAATGAAGGAGTTTTTGCCAAATTTTCCAAATAAAAAAATAGTTAACTGAAATAAAAAGTATTATTTTTGTAATTCTAATAAAAAATAAGGAGTAGCATTGTAGTTCCTCTAAATAACTAATGCAACTTATCAATCCAAAACCTCAAAATTACATATTTTAGAAATGAGTTATGCTAGGGACTCCAAATATTCTATCAAAGCTCTCACATGGGTGTAGGACTCACACACATGTAGATTTGTGTGAGTTTCACCCCATATGAGAGGTTTGATAGAATATTTGAGATACATAACATTTCTCTTTAGAGATTTTGTTCATTGAAAATGAGCAACCTAACTAATGCTACCCTATAACTGGTATTTGGAAAATGAAGAAAAACACAAAAGAAAAGGAAAAATTAATTTCATTGGTATATTAATTATCTCCAATTTAAATGAACAATTATTTGTTATTATTATTTTTAAGATGGTAAAAAATGAAGAATAAGGCATCGTTTGGAAACAGACTATTTTAGTAATTTTTTTTTGGTCTTTTTCGCTAAAATATAAGGTAAAAAAAATTAGTATGCTTTGAATGACTTTTAGTTTTTTTATGAAAATATGTGTAAAAAGTAGAGAGAAAAGAGAATCTTTAATTTTTTGGTATAGATTATAGGCTTTTTGGTTTTCTTTTTTAATAACTTTTTGACTTTTAAGTTAAAACTATTACATGCCAAACAAGATCTAAGATAAAGGATAATCATATCCAGAGGTTAAAATATTTCTTTTTTTTTTTTAATTATACTTTATTCTTGCGTTTATTTTTCATGCTAATCAAATGAAAAAATAATGTCACATTTTCCAAACAAAAGGCCTTAGAGGTAAGTTTCATGATGTTTCATCCTATTTTTCATGTTAGTTACGATGAACGTGCAATAACCTAAAATAAGAAAGAAACAAAATAATGAAAAAATCATTAACCAATGTGTCAGGGTTTCAACTTACAAAATATTAATTATAATTAAAAAAACCTTTGATGGGATCAATTATAAATTTGTGTTGGCTTTTTATTGAGTTTGATTATTTGTTTGTGGTGAGTCAAACTCAAGTACAATATAAATACAAAAATTGTAGTAAAAAAATTAAGAGAAATTATATATAAAAAGAAAAAACTATAGGGTTTGACCAGTGTAACAAAATAAATTCTAATTTTTTAATTTTATCAATTTAAAAATTTTAATCTTTTGATTTATTTTCAATACAAATTATTTGTTTATTTTCATCAAGTAAAATTGATGAAAAAACAGTATTTAAACCATTAAACTCAATGAGAATTATATATCTAAAATACTATCCTTCATTGAATTTAATGACCAAATTATATTTTTTTTTCTGTCAGTTTTACTTAACGAAAATAAACAAATGATTTAGATTGAAAACGAATAAAAAAAATTAGAATTTAAATTGATAAAATTAAAAACTTAAAATTTATTTTGTTATAAGAATCAAATCTTGAAAGTTTTTTTTTTTATAATTTCACCAAAAAATTAATACTGAGTGACTAAAAAAATTAAAAACAAAATACTCATTAAAATGACTTATATTTTAAAAAATGACACAACAATATTATTCTAATTAAAATTCAGTATAAAATATTTATAAGAATAATATTTTTAATATATAAAATAATTTACTTCAGGACACCTACACTGACACCCACACTCACACCCAATTGCGTCTTTTAAATTGACTAATCACCTGGTCAAACACAAACACAAACACAAACACAATTAGATGGGCTCTTTCAACTGTGTTTTCACACAATCGACTGAAAAAATAAAATAAAATTGATATTTTTATATAATTTTTAGTTGAACAGTGATATTTTTAAAAACAGTAAGGGGTGGTTTGAAATGTTCTAAATACGTGTACTTTTTGACTTTTTATAAAAAGATGTGTAAAAAAGTAGAGAGGAGATGTTAATTGATGTGACCTAAAAAAGATAAAATGATAAAAAGATGAACTAAAATAGGGTACCCCAAACAATGCCTAATATTACAAATTTAGACTTAACTATCTAGAAATTATCTAAAACTGTTATCTTGTGGTTTAGATTTATTCTACATGTAAATCTCAGACTACACAAATTTAATCTCAAACACACAACTCTCATTCGGAGTTAATTCGAGGTACTTAAGTGGGGTTCATAACATTTTTCTTTTAAAAATATAAGCTGAAGTAACAGTCTTTTTGATTTAAAGTGATAAAATTAAAACTTATTGCATCATTCTGCATTAAATTTTTTATATGATTTTTCTATTTTTATAGTACTACTTAATAAAAATTCATATAAGCAATATAAGCAATATACTATAGTTCCCATTTTCTTGAGTTTTGCTATTTTGGTGAGTCATTACACAAAATTGACCTAACACACCCACACCCACACCCAAGGTCTGCTTTTCAATTGGGCTTCTCAAACAAACACAAGAGATAATTCTCTAAACTTGGTCAGAGTTTTACACATTGATATGTCTTTCAACTTGGCTTCACAATCCCACAACACACACACACATTTGTAAATTGTATGGCTTTCTCAGGATTGTGTTAACACACAAACAATCCAAAGAAAAGAAAAAAGAAAAAAACAAACGAAAAAGAGAGGAGAAGAAGAAACCTCCCATGTTTATAAATACATGCCCATGTTTCCCTCTAGAGAATCACCAAAACAACACAAAACACACAACACAACACACAGAGATAGAGAGAGAGAGAGAGAGAGAGAGAGATATGGGAGATAGGGTTAAAAGCCAACCAGCTAGCGTGAAACCTCCACTGAAGACATCGGTAAAGGAACAGATGGTGAAAACAGTAGTTTCAGCTATTAAAAAAAGCAATGATAAGAAGAAGGTAAATCTGAATTAGAAATTGACGTTATGAAAAAGATAAAGTTCATCATCATGTAATGAATTAAATAGTTTTTTCACATTATGTAACCCAAATTATAGATAAATATATCTGTGGTTGGTTATTATATTTCCATGTCTACATTATTATGTATCCAATATCAATGTTTGTTTCATTTAGTTGATAAATAAATGAAGTCTCCTTCTATGGTTTTTTATGTGGATGGGTTTGAATTTACATAAATATTCATTTTATTATATAAGATGCACATTTCATTTGGTGTGAATACTTTTTATCCAAATAATGTCCTCCTTGTTTAATAATTGTCACATTCAATAAGCACTAAATACCAATAATGTATGTAAAATGGCAAACACATTGCATTTCCATCCACAACTACTGCATATATATATATATATATATATAGTTCCTTTATATACGTTTGTCTTACATCAATAAATTTATTTTTTGTTGAAAAAAAATTATTATAATAACCTAACGAGCATGCGACTTTAACCCATATGGATTTAAGGATTTGATGAAAAAAGATAATAAAATGAACACAACTCTCATTCGGAGTAAATTCGAGATACTTAAGTAGGGTTCATAACATTTTTATTTTAAAAATATAAGCCGAAGTGATAGCCGTTTTAATTTGAAGTGATAAAATTAAAACTTATTGCATCATTCTGCATTAATTTTTTATATGATTTTTCTATTTTTATAGCACTACTAATAAAAATTCATATAAGCAATATACTATAGTTCCCATTTTCTTGAGTTTTGCTATTTTGGTGAGTCATTACACAAAATTGACCTCACACACCCACACCCACACCCACACCCACACCCACACCCACACCCACACCCACACCCACACCCACACCCACACCCACACCCACACCCACACCCACACCCACACCCACACCCACACCCACACCCACACCCACACCCACACCCACACCCACACCCACACCCACACCCACACCCACACCCACACCCACACCCACACCCACACCCACACCCACACCCACACCCACACCCACACCCACACCCACACCCACACCCACACCCACACCCACACCCACACCCACACCCACACCCACACCCACACCCACACCCACACCCACACCCACACCCACACCCACACCCACACCCACACCCACACCCACACCCACACCCACACCCACACCCACACCCACACCCACACCCACACCCACACCCACACCCACACCCACACCCACACCCACACCCACACCCACACCCACACCCACACCCACACCCACACCCACACCCACACCCACACCCACACCCACACCCACACCCACACCCACACCCACACCCACACCCACACCCACACCCACACCCACACCCACACCCACACCCACACCCACACCCACACCCACACCCACACCCACACCCACACCCACACCCACACCCACACCCACACCCACACCCACACCCACACCCACACCCACACCCACACCCACACCCACACCCACACCCACACCCACACCCACACCCACACCCACACCCACACCCACACCCACACCCACACCCACACCCACACCCACACCCACACCCACACCCACACCCACACCCACACCCACACCCACACCCACACCCACACCCACACCCACACCCACACCCACACCCACACCCACACCCACACCCACACCCACACCCACACCCACACCCACACCCACACCCACACCCACACCCACACCCACACCCACACCCACACCCACACCCACACCCAAGGTCTGCCTTTCAAGTGGGCTTCTCAAACAAACACAAAAGATAATTCTCTAAACTTGGTCAGAGTTTTACACATTGATATGTCTATCAACTTGGCTTCACAATCCCACAACACACACACACATTTGTAAATTGTATGGCTTTCTCAGCATTGTGTTAACACACAAACAATCCAAAGAAAAGAAAAAAGAAAAAAAAAAAGAAAAAGAGAGGAGAAGAAGAAACCTCCCATGTTTATAAATACATGCCCATGTTTCCCTCTAGAGAATCACCAAAACAACACAAAACACACAACACAACACACACAGAGAGAGAGAGAGAGAGAGGGTTAAAAGCCAACCAGCTAGCGTGAAACCTCCACTGAAGACATCGGTGAAGGAACAGATGGTGAAAACAGTAGTTTCAGCTATTAAAAAAAGCAATGATAAGAAGAAGGTAAATCCGAATTAGAAATTGACGTTATGAAAAAGATAAAGTTCATCATCATGTAATGAATTAAATAGTTGTTTCACATTATGTAACCCAAATTATAGATAAATATATCTGTGATTGGTTATTATATTTCTATGTCTACATTATTATGTATCCAATATCAATGTTTGTTTCATTTAGTTGATAAATAAATGAAGTCTCCTTCTATGGTTTTTTATGTGGATGGGTTTCAATTTACATAAATATTCATTTTATTATATAAGATGCACATTTCATTTGGTGTGAATACTTTTTATCCAAATAATGTCCTCCTTGTTTAATAATTGTCACATTCAATAAGCACTAAATACCAATAATGTATGTAAAATGGCAAACACATTGCATTTCCATCCACAACTAGTGCATATATATATATATATATATAGTTCATTTATATACGTTTGTCTTACATCAATAAATTTATTTTTTGTTGAAAAAAAATTATTATAATAACCTAACAAGCATGCGACTTTAAACCATATGGATTTAAGGATTTGATGAAAAAAGATAATAAAATGAAAAGAAAAAAATTTCCAGTTACTTGTTTGTTAAGTTTAAAAGATGATCAGCAGTGAAAAATGAACGAAAACTGCAAAGAAGAGAAATGCTTTAGAACTCAAATTTTATTTCTCATAAAAAATAGTGAAATCAAGAAATCAAAAATTATTCTTTATAAATAGTTTATAAAATCTAAATTATCCCCCTGAATATGAAATAAATAAAATAAAATGACACACGTCCTTTTTATTTATTATTTATTGTTGAAAAACTATAATAACTTTTTTCTTCTCTCAACTGAGGTCTCATTTGACATGTACTTGTTTTAACCTAAAAGTTAAAAAGTTATTAGAAAATTGAAAAGCTTATAATCTATACTAAAAAGTCAAAGATTCTATTTTCTCTATACTTTTTACACATCTTTTCGCAAAAAATTAAAAACAACATCAATGGGATCATCAAATACCATAAACTCTAGCCATTAGGACTAAAGTTAAAAGATTCAAAACTCCAAAACCATTATATAAATAATAATGTGTACATAATGTATAAGTTTTGAGAATTAAATTAGATGAATTGCAAAGTGAATACAGGTGTTGGGTCACAACCCGATCCAGGCCTAATCTTAAACACATGCACATACTAAGCCCAACTCAACTTAGCCCAAAGCTCAAGACTAGGTCCAAGTCCAAGTCTAAGACCAAATCCAGCACATGTACAAGTACAAGTCTAGGCACAGTCCAAATCAAGACTAAGTCCAAATCTAAACCCAACTTTATTGATGCTCGCTTTGTGAGACAATTCTCATTCATAACTTAATAGTTTCGGCTCATTATTTTTGTATTGTAATATTCTCACTTAAGATAATAAAAAACCACTCAGATCCACCTCAACCGACGGTTAGGTCCCACTTTACTCACCAAATACTCCTTGATTCCTAGTGGTTGAGGGGGAGCCTCCGCCTTTACTCACCAAATACCCCTTGATTCCTAGTGGTTTGACTTTCCTTTGTCGTGCTTAGATTCTCTTGTCGGAGGTCCAACTTTCAGATCACTACTAGGATTGAATCTAGTGTTTGTCGAACTTCAAGAGTCACACACACACTTTTTATCATGGGATCTATGCTTTTCACATAATGCATCACTTTCTTGCATGAGGAATCTTCTACAGACTATGCACATTGTGTTTACTAGTAATTGTGCTTCTTAGATAATCTTATGTGTTTTAAGGTACTAATCTGAAATTCCTTGCTTGTCCCACCATATTATTTTTGTTGTGTTTTTTCTTCTTGTTCAATGTTTTCAGTGTTTGTGGTTTATTTTAGTGCGGGGGAGTTTGGTTCATCTTGATTTGCGTTGGTAAGGGAGTTTGGTTTATCATTGCAAGAGTTTGTTAGCATGAACACTTTGTTTTGTTTGGTAAGGGAGATTGGCTATAGTTGTTTTGCATGTTGCTATGCACTGTTTGCGTATTATTTCCTTCTTGCATGCTCCTAATATTTACATTGTCATATGTCTATTGCTTTTTCATATACGCTTATGGGACTAATAGTTGTTTTGGAGATTGTGACACTAATAGTTGTTTTGCAGATCTTGACTGTCAGAAAGAAGTTTATTTTTGTTGGCTGTAATGGGTTGGGATGATTAGGATTTTATTTGTTAGGTGTGTTTTGTCACGGCATTGCCAAAGGGGGAGATTGTTAGGTTTTGTTATTGGCAATTCCCGTTTGACAAAACTTTTTTCAGTTGTACTTATTTTCGCACTTTTATTTCAATGAGGCTATGAGTTTGTTAGATGCGAATCCAACCAGCTTGAATTTGCGGGACAGATTCTATAAATTCGCATGTTGGGTCAGATTTTAGGATTACGACTCCAGATCTTTTTTTTGGGTTCTAGGGTTTATATCTGGGGATACTCTGTGAGTTTTCTTTGATGTTTTGATTGAGTATTCAACTCATGTTTTAAAGAGTATACATCAAAGGTCTTGTTTGTTCTACAAAAGAAAGAGTTATTCTTCGGTGGATTCTGAAGAATTTGAGCCTGAAGCTTTGGTGGATTCCGGGGTGGCTCATCGTAAAGACAATTTCGAGGTGAAGACGGGTTGGAAGAGGCACATAGAGGTTGGTTCAATTAGGCGTGGATTCGCTAGGTAATTGAGAGTATACATGTGTAATTCCTTTAAATCTTCTTAGTGGATTGTTTTGTGACTGTTGCCCGTGGTTTTTTAATCACAGTTGGAGGTGTCCAATTGTGGTTTTTTCCACGTTAAAATTGTT